TGATAATAAAGCATAACAGATAAAACTGAAGACCCCTTTACCACCCAAAGTCCCACTCCTTTTGCCAAGCAGGCAACTGCTACCAGGAATTGGTGTATATCCTCCTGGTTCGTTGTATAATACTTTCACAGCTATATATATATGTATCCATATCTAATACATAGTATTATTATTATTTACATCTATATGAATGGTACCATAATACATGTTTTCTACATTCCCTTAAATTTAACATTGTTTTTGTGATCTGGTCAAGTTGATACATATAAATCCGGTTTATTGTAACTGCTATATTATTACATTATATCACTATATCATATTGCACTATCCATGCTCATATTGATGGATGTTTTTTACTGTTGTTGGCAATGCTGTAAGGAACATACTTTTCCTGGGTTGAACATATGAAATTGCTATTTTTGTAGGTCAAAAGCACTTTATGGGCAATTTTATATGGTTGAAACTAATTCTGTGGTTTGTGTGCTGACACTTTAACATCTATCTGACTTTTGACTATATGATGGATGAAAATGGCATCTGATTTTTTTTTTTTTTTCCTTTTTTTTGTCTTTTTTCGTGACCGGTAACGGGATCGCAACCCTCGGTGTCGCGCCCGCACTGCGCTCAGCCAGTGAGTGGACCGGTCTCTATTTGGGATCCGAACCCTCGGTGGGAGTGCCACCGCGCTCCCAAGCGCCGCAGTCAACCGAGTGCGCCACCGGGCCGGCCCATGGCATCTGATTTTTATTTGCATTTACCTGTTAATGAAATTAGACATGTTTTCATATGTTCATTGGCCATTTGTATTTTTCCTCTATTGTAAATCTTCCACTTACAGTCTGTGCTCATCCAGACCAGGGAGAATAAAGCATTTCTTTAAGAATTGATTGTGGACATGTTCATGGATTAGGGAATGGGTAACGTTGGTAAATATTGGAGTTCTCCCTAAGTGTAGCAAATTGCTTAATGGTTACAATTTCCTCCCATTACATTGTGCATGCAACTTTGCAGTGTGATTTTGCCACTCTTTCCATCCCAAGGTGGAGCTGTTTCTCCATTCCCTTGAATCTGGGCTGGCTTTGTGACTTGCTTTGACATTTAGAATGTGGTAGAAATGATGTTGCACAAGTTCTAGAGCTTAGGCTGTAAGAGGCCTTCAAGCTTCCATCTTCACCTCCTGAGAACACTACCCCAAGAATGCTATGTAAGGAAGCCAGACTAGCCAGACTAGCTTACTGGAGGACGGAAGGCCACATGGAGATTGAGTTGCTCCAGCTGCCAGCTAGCAGCAGCTGTCAGACATGTAACTGAAGCCATCTTGGACCTTCCAGTCCAGGTGAGCCTTCAGCTGAAGGCAGCTGTGAGAGTGAACCTAGGTGAGACCAGTGGAGTAACCAGCCAGCCCACAAAATAATGAGAAATAATAAATCACCATTTTAAGCCACTAAATTTGGGAGTGGCTTTTTTTTTTTTTTTTTGTCTTTTGTCTTTTTTCCGTGTCCGGCAACGGATCGCAACCCTCAGTGTTGCCCCCGTACCGGACTGGGGACCGGCAACGGGACCGCAACCTTCGGTGTTGCTCCCGCGCCTCGCTCAGCCTGCGAGCGGGAACCGGTCTGTATGTGGGATCCGAACCCTCGGGCGGGAGCGCCGCCGCGCTTCCCAAGCGGCGCACTATCCAGTGCGCCACCGGGCCGGCCCGGGGAATGGCTTTTTTAATAGCAATAGTTAGCACAACTATGATCTGGTATGGTAATGAGATGGGGAAATAATTTGGGGAAAAAAAACAGAACTTGGAAGTACTTGATTTGGAATAGACGAGATCCTTTTTTACTTAAAAAACAAGTAACAGAGCACTTACTGTGTGAAAGGAATTGTGCTAAGCAATTTGCATGTTACTTCATTTTTATCTTCAAAACAATCCTAGTAAGTAGAAATTATTATCCTAATTCCTCCCAAGGTCACAAACTTAATCACTAGAACTTGTTCGAAACTCAGCTATATCTGACTCTAAAGCCTGCTTTAATCATTATCCTGCCTTCCCATAAAAAAGCATTTCAAAATTTATCAATCCAATAAAAATCACACTTCACACTTAGTGGCAATTTTATCAATGCAATGTTTAGTTAAAAGAAAAAAAAAGTCACATTAAAATGAATAAATTTAAATATATATTGGGATTTTTAACTAGCAAATCTGGCTGCAAATAGAGAAATATACACAATTTCAAGTTAATACAAAAACAAGACAGGTAACACAGTAGAGTTATGCTTACACACCCTCTCTGATCTAAACATATATCATGATATATAAAATGTGAAATGAGAAAATTAAAGACATTCATGGATACAAAGTACTGAGCAGAGCTGAAGGTTAAGTGTTTGCTGTGCTGTGGGTCCAGAAGGCAGTGGCAGCACCAATTTCTGTTCCTATAGAATAATCCAGACTAAAACTGTTTCTTTAAAAAAAATTTAAAATACAGGCTTTTAACTAAATCTGACAGGACTATTCTCCCTCATTTCTTTCTGAGGTATGGTTTTACTAGGCAAAAAAGACCTGGTAGAGCAGGGAAGAAGTGAGCCAGAATAGGTAGAACAGAAATTAACTGATTAAATTTGCTATTATGGCATTCCCTTTGTTTTTTTCTGTCATACCCTTTGAAACAAGATTCAAAGGCTATTTAAGTGTGGATCCATAACAAACACCATGACTTGATATAATTCTTTATGCTTACAGTTGTAAAAATGTAGCTATAAAATTCTAAAAGGATACAAGGTGAGGTTCTTATTCTATAAAAGTTATCCTTCTTCTTTGTAAAATGCAATAATGAACTCTAATCCTTCCAGACAAAGACTTAAGGTTTTTTCCATTGAAAATTACAAAGATATAATTTCCAGAATCTGTTTCCAAATCTGGTGTAAAATTTTACAACTTTATATTTTGGGGTAGGCAGAATAATGACCCCTAAAGATATTCACATTCTAATCCCCATAACCTGTAAATATGTTACCGTACATAGCAAAAGGGATTTTACAGATGTAATCAAATTAAGGAGACGTGTATAGAATATATAAAGAACTCTTGCAAGTCAACAATAAAAAGATAAACAACCCAATTGAAAAATAGGCAAAAGATCTGAATTAGACATTTTTCCAAAAATGGCCAATAGGCACATGATAAGATGCTCTACATCACTAGTCATTAGGGAAATTCAAATCAAAAACACAATGAGGGCCGGCCTGTGGCTCACTCGGGAGAGTGTGGTGCTGATGGCACCAAGGCTACGGGTTCGGATCCCACATGGGGATAGCTGGTTCCCTCACTGGCTGAGTGTGGTGCTGACAACACCAGGATAAGGGTTAGGATCCCCTTACCGGTCATCTTTTAAAAAAAAACACAATGAAATAATACTTCACACACACTAGGGTGTCTATAATGAAAAAGACAGACAATAACAAGCGTTGGCAAGAATATAAAGAAATTGGAACCCTTATGCATTCCTGGTAGGAATGTAAGATGGTGCAACCTCTTTGGAAAACAGGCAATTCCTCAAGAAGTTTTATACAGAATTACCACATAACCCAGCAATTCCACTCCTAGTTATATATCCAAGAGAATTAAAACTATATGTCCACACAAAAACTTGCACATGAATGTTCATAGCAGCACTAACCATAATAGCCCAAAAGTGAAAACAATCCACTTGTCCATCATCTGATGAATGGATAAACAAAATCTTTTATATTCTTACAGAAGAATATTATTCAGTCATAAAAAGAATGAAGTACTAATACATGCTATAGCATGGATGGCCCTTGAAAATGTTATGCTAAGTGAAAGAGGCCGGACACAAAAGGACATATTGATTCCATTTATATGAAGTATCCAGATAAGGCAAATCCATGGGGACAGAAAGTAGATTAGAAGTTGCCAAGGGCTGAGAGGAAGGAAGAATTGGAGTGAATGCTAATGGGTATGGAGTTTCTTTTGGGGATAATGAAAATGGGCTGAGGTTAGATAGTGCTGATAGTTGCACATCCTTGCGAATACAATAAAAACTACTGAATTTTACACTGTAGAAGGTTGAATTTTAGGTATCTGAATTATACATACATATATATGTGTGTGTGTATATATATATGTATATGTGTGTGTGTGTGTATGTGTATATATATATATATATATATATATATATATATATATATATCAAAAAATAAAATTAAAAAAAAGAAGTTTATCGGATGACTTACAGGGGCAAACCAGAAACAAAACCATCTGTTATCTGATCAGGTCAGAGACCAAGAATTGCATTTTATTTTTAGCTAACTTTATGTAACTGTTTTTTCCATTTATGGGCAGTTTCCTTAAAAAATACATTTATGTAAAAAAAATGAAGTCAATATAAATAGTGTTAAAAACATTCAGTAAGGAATAATGTGGCTGACCATGAAGTTTGGGAAAGTCCTAATGTCCTATTAAGCATTTTTCAAACCCAGTAACTGTCTAGATTAATAATGAAGTAACACTTCATACACCATTCAGTTCCCAGTGCCAAGTAACTTAACCCTTAGATGTGTTCTTTAAAGTACAATACTTTCTTTTAACCCTATTTCCGAGGGAATTTTCAGGGATTTGCCCTCTAGATTAGTTTTCATCATAGGTTTTACTCTTTCTTTATCAAAAGCTATCATCCCCACATAAATCCAAGGCATTACACTGTGATTGTTACTGCACTAAATATGTACTTATATAAATGTTCCCATAGTTATAATAGCAAAACTATCTTTCAAATTAACAAATAATGGACTTCTTTACACTTGTAATAATTTAGTCCCATTCACAGCAATTTGGAAAAGGACTGAAAATCAAATATTTAGAGTTTCTACTCTTGAAATGAGATGAAAACTAATCAGAATACATTTTTAAATGTTTAAAACCAAATTCACATACACGGTATACTAAAATGTATAGCACACTCACATACTTCAAAAAAAGGGGAATTTGCCCATAATCAAAACTTTATTGAAAAACTGACACCAAAATAGGAGATCACTGTTTTTTACCTTAGAAAATCAAACATAATTACATTATCTTGATAGCGTATCTAGAATTACTAAATTTATTATAAGGCTTTCTGTGAGATAACACAAGTTCAGGAAGTTGTGTGGATCATTAGTGTTGCTTTCTTCTAAATGAGCACCCTGCAAAGGAACCACGAGAGTATATTAAACAGAAGTCTATTCTATCTTAGGTATAATTTTAGAGAAAAAACTATTTTAAGCAAAAACTTAAGTTTTAGGAACCTTAGATTAATATTCATATGTACATTATTTTTCCTTTTATACCAGAAATTTGCTATAATAAATCTGTTATATCTGAGTTTATTCTGATATGACTATAACTGTCACTCCTCTTTCTCAAATGCCATAACGGAGTCTATTAAAGACCAATGAGCCTGAATTCAACAGTTAGAACGGTTTTATGCAAGCTGTCAGAAGATGCACTCTTAATTTTAGGAACTACTCTAAATAGTTTTCCCAAGAAAGTAATTTTGATTAGAGTTCTTTTCAGATCTATTAGGAAAACTCTGGTACAGAGGCACCCTTTGAACCATCTGTCAGAATATGGGAACAAAATCCCAAGATCACAACATGACATAAAGGTTTCAGAAATCTTTCAAGTACACTTTAAGAGCAATATTACTCATAAATATTGTAAGCTGACTTCCTACTTAGATCTCAGCAGGTCACACCAAACAGATCTTGGATTTGCTGCCAATCCCCTTGTAACTCTTCCAGTGAAAACAACATGGAATTCACAGGTCCCCAAAATATCAAAAGCAAATTTCAAATATGATTATGGAATTGTAAATCTACAAGTATTACTATGGAAAAGTGTAACATAATTGTTTTTTTCCTTACTGCAGTAAAGTGAAAAAGGAATTAAAATTAGATTTTTATATTAGCCATTAAGTAGTTGCTCATAAAAATTTATGAATTTTAATTTATACAGATTTTAATTTACACAGACAACTAATATCTGTTGCTTAGCTGGCAAACTATCTTAAGTCATACGTACCAAATATATATTAAACAAAATATTTACAAGAGAAATTTTTAAATCCTATGGTATTAAAAATCCCTAAGTCCTACTATATGTAGTTATTCTTTTGCTTTCATTCTGATTCATTTTTAACTTATTTCAAGTTAAGCAAACTAAGGGAATAAATACAAAAGAATTCGATGTTCCAAACTAAGAAAAATAATAAAGGATTCGTTTGTAAAGTCAAGAGTATAAACTTATCCAACTGAACAGGGTATTCTACTGAAATAGCACACAATGGAAGATAAAAATTATTTTGGTAATCATGAATTTAAAATTTCTCTAAACTTTTTGTAAAGATGGAGGCATTAATAATCATAAATTCTTATTCCTGGCTTAGAAAATGCTAAATGATATACCTTCTGTGAGTCTGGCCTTTCCTCCTGTAGGCTGGCACAACACTGTTGAACAACCTACACAAAGAACCACTGTCTGAGCATGGCTGAAAACCGTGGTAATCTTGTAGCAACCTAAACAGATGGGTAGTATTAAAAGTGAAAAGCAGAAGAAAACATAGCACCTACTCAACATATTTCTAGTAATATGTAAAAGTAAGTCGTTTACATATTTCCTGTAAAACATTAAGAACTTTAGTGCTGTGCAACAGCAAGCAACATATGTAACATAACTTTTCTAATAGCCACATTAAAAAGTTTAAGATAATATATTTTATTGAACTTAATAGTCCCAAAATATTCTCATTTCAACATACAATCAATAAGTTTTTTTTTTCATGGTACATTTTCAAAATCCAGTGTGTAATTTATATTTAAAGAACATCTACATTTTGACTAGCCACATTCCAAAAACTCAGTAGCCACATATGGCTAATGGCCACCACAGTGGGCAACACAACTTTAGACTGAAGTATCAACAACTTACTTTTCATTGCACCATGAAAAAAAAATCATCTGGAAAGCTTAAAGAATTAGTAAGACAAATATCATATCTCCTTTGGGTGCCCATCTTCACCTCCCCCAACCAATGTTTCACAATGTTTTGAGTACTATGATCACGAAAATGTCTCATGATAGTTCCAATTCTGTAATCTCACTTGAATTCAACAGAGGGTCCTAAAGTATCCAAATATACACACCACACTAACAATTAAGATTTGAAATTTTACCTGGACATTTCACATCCATAAAATAAGAATTTGGACTTTGAACTAGCCGTTTCTTTTTATGTTTTTTCTTTTCCTCTTCCAAGGACGGATGTAGTAAATCTCTAGCCAACTGAATAAAAAAGCATATGATTACTACTGTAATCAAACCACAATGCTGGCAGGCTTAACCATACGTGAAATATACACGCAAAGACAGGAATAACGGTCATACTCGGCAGAGGCAACAGTTGAGATGTTAACGTTATTTTTAAAAGCCTGTTCATAACTTTCTATCAATACTTTTTATAAGCTTGCGTTCAGAAAGTCCCGATAAAAGGGCTTTATAACGATCAGGAAACATATGGTAAGGTGAACTGTGTTTCTCTTTACTCAACTGAATTAGTCTTCAATAAAAACAAAACTGTGGTGCTAAGAACGTGACCCCGACCCTGGACTCGCTGAGAGTAGAAATCGCTGAAGCCGTCCAGAGAACGCCAACGCCAGGATGACTTCTGCCCCCAGGGTTCAACATCTGATCTGACAGAACTCTAAGTGGCTGAGGCGTGACCGTCCTCGATGGAATTAATCTATAAAGCAACTGCGAAGAGTTTTTTAAAAGGAAACAAGCAGGAAATCGCTTCCGAGAGAAAACAAGTGTGCGAGTACCAAGAAGCACAGGAAAGCAAAAAGACCCCAAAGATTACAGCCTCGTGGGCTCCCCCTCAAAACTAAGACAGCTGAGTTACCCAGGGAGCTGTTCCCCTCCTAGCCACCGACTCCAGATCGCAGCCCGGGCGGCTCCACGCCCGTGCAGGGCCCGCCACGCCGCGCTGCCCGGACAAGTCACAACAAGCCCGCCACGCGGGAAGGAGCCGCCGCGTCACGTTCCGCAGGGAGCCCCATGAGCCCGGGGGAGCCGTCGGCTCACCTGCTCCCTGTACCCCTCGACAGAGAAGCCCCAAACAAGCCCAGAGCTCGAAGTAAACAACTCACAGGCATGCTGATCTTTTCGCAAACCCAGCCCGTCCAGGTCTCTCAGACGACACCCCTGTCGAGCCGCAAGCGATCTGGTGCTCGGCATCAACTTCCGGGATAGAGGAGGCTGGGAGGGGCGGAGCGGCGGGCGGGCCCGTCTGCTCTAGGCGCTCCTCTCAGTGGTGGTGGGGGACGTCCCAACGGGGTCAGATGTCCTGGGCGAAGGAAGATTCCAAGGGTGGCGACGATCCGAGAGCTCCAAATCCCGCGAACTAGTGGTGCCCGGGGTCGGACCCAGGCGGTTGTGTGCCAGGCCGGGGAGCCGTCTCGGAGAGGAGGCGGGGAGGGGCGGAGCGGCGGGCGGGCCCGTCTGCTCTAGGCGCTCCTCTCAGTGGTGGTGGGGGACGTCCCAACGGGGTCAGATGTCCTGGGCGAAGGAAGATTCCAAGGGTGGCGACGATCCGAGAGCTCCAAATCCCGCGAACTAGTGGTGCCCGGGGTCGGACCCAGGCGGTTGTGTGCCAGGCCGGGGAGCCGTCTCGGGCTCAGGCCTCAGAGAGAGAGCGCCCGCGGCCAGGGGGTCCTTAAAAGTGGGAGAAGAAGGGGGGTGGCTGGTTAGCTCAGTTGGTTAGAGCTCGGAGTTGTAACACCAAAGTCAAGAGCTTGGATCCCTGTGCCGGCCAGTCACCAAAAAAAGAAAAAGAAAGAAAGAAAAGAAAAGAAAAAGTGGAAGAGGGAGACAGAAGAGAGAAAAAGAGATGTGATGGAAGAAGGCTCTGAGAGGTGCTATGTTGCTAGCTTTGAATATGGAAGAGGCAGGGCCGTGAGCCAACGAATGTGGGAAGCCTCTAGAAGCTGGAAAAGGGAGGGAAATGTATTCTGAATCCCCTAGAGCCTCCGGAAAGAAACACCTCAGTTGTAGCCCAGTCAGATTTCTGAAATACAGAACTGTATGATAATAAATTTTTGTTTTTTTAAGCCATTAAAGTTATAGTAATTTGTTACAGCAACGATAGAAAACCAATACAATAATGAAGACCCATGTACCCACCACCCACCTCTGTCAAATCTTAACATTCAATACTCCCTCCCCCCAATTTTTCACTATTAAACAACACAGTAGTAAACATTCTTGTAGGAAAGTTTTTGTGTACCTCCTTGATTATTTTCTTACGATAAATTTCTAGAGGAGGAATTGCTGAGTCAAAAATTACTCACATATTAAGGTATATAGCATAAACTGCCAAATTAACCTTCAAAAAAGTCAAATCAATTTACATTTCAGATGTAAAGGTATGAGAATTCCCTTTTCTTTGCACCCTTGACAGTACTGGATAGTTTGTTTTTCCCTGTTTTAATCAATCCAGAAGAACTATATAGTATTTTGTCATATTTCACTGTTGCTTTAATTAATATTCTTCATGTGCTTATTGGCTATTAGCACTTTTCTATTGAGATGGCCATTTATTTCTTCTTTATTTCTTCTTCTGTATTAAGAATATTAACCATTGATCATATACATTGCAAATATTTTTCCCAACTTATTTCCTATTCATTTTATGCTTGGTAATTTTATTAATCATACCGGTTATTAATATCACATATTCACATGCACATATACACATATTTCAAGTCTGTTGGTTTTTGCATTTTGCTATTGTGCTTAGACAGGCCTTGGTCACCTTAGAGGTCAAATAAATATTTGCCTGTGCTTGCTTCTGATTCTTTTGTTGTAATATTTATTCTTTAACTTTTTTAATAACCTAGAATTTATTTTGGCACTTAATGTGTAGTAGGTCTCAGAACAATTTCTAATGATCAGGCCTAATTCTTCATTTTTTTTTTTTTTTTTTTTTCCCTTTTTGTCTTTTTTCGTGTCCGGCAACGGACCGCAACCCTCAGTGTCGCGCCCATACCGGACCGGGACCGGCAACGGGATCGCAACCCTCGGTGCTGCGCCCGCCCCTTGCTCAGCCAGTGAGCGGGAACCGGTCTGTATGTGGGATCCGAACCCTCGGCAGGAGCGCCGCCGAGCTCTCAAGCGGCACACTGTAGCAGTGCGCCACCGGGCCAGCCCCTAATTCTTCATTTCTTTAACCAACGCCCAGTATAGTGTCAAAACCCTTCAGCCTCTCAGACACTCAGGAGAAGCATGTGAAATACAACTCCTGAGGTCAAGAAGACCCAGACTCTACTTACAACTCTACCTCCTCCTCCAAAGCTCAATTTCTCCTAAAATGTCCCCAGGCCACTGCACTGATTGCAGATGAAGGGGCATGCATCCCTCTGCCTTGGCAGACTGTTCTCAGGGATCCTGAAGGAGGAGCTCCCACCTGGCTTCCCAAAGACCTGTAAAGTACCAGTTGGAGTTTTGTTTATTGCCCTGAGAACTTTCCAGCTGTTCTATCTGGCCAGGTCTGAGAAGATGCTGATGAAATCTCCTATTTGGTGCCTGGCTCCCTTCACCGCAGAAGTGTATAGCCATCTCTACTCCCTTGTACCTTTACCAACTTCAGATGCTGGGGAAACACAGGTGTGCAGACAGGTTAAGCCAGGAACCCAACTGGTACTAGATTTCAGGACCCCAAGAGCTGTTCTAAATAAATCAGATCCCCACCTTTCTCTAGGGCTGAAGTTCTTCAGGCTTGTGCCCATCTTTTCCCAGAAGGATGGTCAGAGGTTTAGTTTAGTTTTGTTTTTAAGCAATTCATAATGTGAGGTGGGGGCCCTAAAGATATCTTTCACACCCCTGCCTATGTATTTTTCTGAGAATTTCAGAGAAATCTGTCTCATCAGCAAACTATAACTAGGCTGCATTCTTTTTCTCCTCCTCCTATTATCCACCTGTTGATAGGTTTCAAAACACTCATGGCTTATTCTCAACACATACCTGAAATCAGCAGCAACTGCTGAAAATCTGACTCTCTTCTGCATACCAGTCTTTCAAAAAGTGTCACAGCCATTGTCCCCAAAGTGCCAACTGTAGAGGTTGCAATCCATCTGTCATTCATGAGGATGCTTGACACTCTCAGGCCATAAGTAGTAAGACTCTCAGATGCAAACTCTGGTGTCATTTCTTTATTTTCCATACCAACTTAATTCCTAACCAAGGCTAAGCCCCCATTGGGCTGGGCTGGCAGAACATTTCACCTCAGTGTTGGAAACTGTGCTAGGTTTTCTGCATGTGTCCCGCATGTGTCCCCTACCAGATTTGCTCTCCATCCTTCACCCTGCTCTGTGCCCAGGAGGATGTCTTTGATGGGTTACATCAACTGGGTTCCCTTGCCCTCTGGTTTCCAATGGGAGGCATCAGTAGGAAATCAGAGGGCAGAAGAAGAACAATTTTGGGGTATTTACTCCCCTGGATCTATTCTTGATGAGCCATCTTCTCCCACGCAGCTGTTTCTCTAAAGGCAACAGTTGCTTCAGGTATCCCTTTCTTATAGCTCTCATGAGATTTCCATCACCACTTCCTCTCCTTTTTGCCCTTGCAACTGATGGGTGGTACCTTGCAGTCTTTTGTTGGTTTCCATTAACCCTGTCCCAACCTTGTAAACAGTCCCTTCAGGAAACTCGTCATCCATCCCTTTTGAGTGGGCCATCTGTGATCTGCCAGGCCCCTAACATGGGGATCCCCCTCCAGGATGTGCTCTCCTTTCAGCCTGGAAGGCTTTGCAGATGGGGTCCATCTGCTCCTCAGTCATCAGTCCAACCAGGTCACTGCAGGAAAGTCCATTGTCCCTGCCTGTGGGATCCTTCAGGTTTGACAGACTGTGGATCCTCCTGTTCTTTGCTTAAAATAGATTTGAGAATCTTAAGGGAGATGGCCTATAATTCTAGCCATGTAAATCCATGCCACTTTGTAGACAGTTGGGCCATGTTTCGGCGCAATCAAATCATAAGGCGCCTGCCTAAGTATGGTTCCTGTTCCCTAAAATAGATCAAGCGGTGGCCATCTTGCTGGCGTAAGGCCTCCGCCACCGTTTCATGAGCGCTTTAATGCACGTAGCTAGAAGTCCTTCTTTTCCGGGGCCCAGTGACTAAGCAGTTTTTGCCCGCCCTGTCATCACCCCTCTTCATAACTTGTGGCTTCC